GCACCCACTCCTCAGAGTGCCACCTCCCAATGCCACTCTCTCCAGAATCAGGTCAGCTACCTCTTGTGCGTTCATCAATAATCTCCTTGACCTTAGGCTTTTCTGTTGTGCTCTTTCTGGGCTTTTTGGCTGGTGGGGGTGGTGCATAGGCAGCTGCCTCGGGTTCAACCCACATGTCTGTGTAAACTTCTTTGTAGGGATTCTTCTCCTCTGGAGCAGGAAAGCGGGTGACAAGGTCACAGTGGCAGGCTGACATGACAGGGAACCCCAACCTCCTCCTCTTCCTACAATGGGGTGCATCTGATCCCACCTCCCACCTCTCTGGTTCCAGCAAGCCAACGGGGGAGCAGATTATTCTGGAGGCCTGGAGCAGCATTGTCCTGACCTTGACCCCAGGACGAGGAAGACTCTGGCCACTCCCACTGGAACCCTCCACGGAGACCTTGGCAGCTCTCCCAGCCCAGGTGCAGATGTGACTTGTGGGCAAGGGTCCTACAAGGCTGGGCTAGGCACCCCCATTTACCTTCTGGTGGCTCTAGGCCCTTGGGGCCAGAGGGCTGGAACCCCCCAAGGGCCCATTCGATCATCTGCTTGTTCTGCACCTCCACAGCTTTGGCAGTGTCGCTCTCATCACTGTCGTGGCATGCTGGGAACAGCTTCCCCGCACGGCTGCTGGCCACCTGGAAGGCCAACACATCAGAGGGAGGGGAGTCAGGACAGGCTGACGGGCAGGAGAGTCAGACCCAAGGCCAGACTGAAGGTAGTGAGGGTAGGCACAGGCAAGAGGTGGAGGGGAGAAAGGGCTCAGTGGGATGGGGAGAAGAAGAGTTGTAGCCAAAGGGCCCAGTAGACCGGATGCTCTGCCCAGGCCTGACCACCACACTCTGACTTCCAGGCCTCTAGTGCCTTCTGAGCTGCCTTCTAAGCTCCCCAGAGGGACACTCACCTGCAGGACTTCATAGATGGCTTTGCGGTACATGGGCTGCTTGTTGTAGGTGGCCTGGTGGAATGCACTGCAAAATGAGCTCAGTGGCATCAGCTTCTCAACGCACACCTGGCAGGACGAGCAAGGCCTGTGTTTGCTGCTCCTTCCACGCCCTCAAGCACCCACCCCGTGCCTCCCAACTGTCAAGGGGTGGGAACTGTAAGAACCACCCTCAGCCTGGAGAGGACCAGATGCACTGATAAATAATTACCCAATGCAAAGGAGGCATCCAGACCAA